AAATTCTCATCTCACTTTACCACTAAAGTCGAACAGTATCTAAAAATTTTGTGAACCGATAAGCTAATTTTTGTGCGCATTAATCTCGCCAAAGATCAGTGCCATGCATAAGTGAAAATTAAACAGATTATTAAAAAACAAAAAAACGGTCCAACCGAATGAGACAAAATTTCTTGCCCTACAGATTTCGTTCGAGACCGGATATTCAAAATATCTTGTGACACTGAAGACTGAATCGCTGATGTAATCGACGTAAATGAAAAATTAAGACATAAAAACGTTTCTACTGTAATAACTGGTTTAAAAGAAATAAATAATTAATTTCTTTTTACACCTATTGTAATATTGTAATAAATTTCATAAAAAACGTGAATGTCAACTTTGCTCTTGAATCGTATGAATTAACGCTCATGGAGTTATGGTGTAATAACATCGGCAATAGTCATAGTTAACGCACTACAAGAATACTACACGTTATAATCAAATAATAAGGAATTTTTTATCTCTATAATATTGTCGTATAAAAAAAACGAATTGTTTCGTCTTGCGTATCGTTGTCCATCATAATTTTCCATGAATGCTAGTTAAAAAAAATTTTGAAAAATTCAGAACCACATGAACTTAACCACCTGATCAGCCAAAACCAATGAACGAATAAATAAATAAAATGAAATGGTTCATAATTCTTTCAGACAAAGCCATATTTTGTACTCGTACTAACTACAATATAATTTAATCCCACAGTATTTTGTTAACAACCACATGCACGTAGATGTGTGTTAATAGCCGAGCAAACAGCCAAGCTCCAGTTTAAACGGATAAATGTTTACCAACGCACATTGTTACTCTCGGGCTCTAAATATTTTTTTTCTTTCCAAACACGCACCCAAACGCACGCAAACCATGTGGGACCCATTAGCAAGGAGAAAAAAAAAATTCCCGTTCATTTCCGAAAAATATATCAGCAAACAAAATGCAAAACGCCAATTGGCAAGAATTTATGAAATCGAAGGATAGCAAACAAGAACGACTTCTCCCACACAGCGATTGTTGGCGAATTTTTCCCTAATCCCGCTTACAACAAAGCAGGGGCGAGAAGGAGTTCGAATTCGCTATGTGTGTTATCAAATGACGCGCCGATTCATTTCGCACCTCCTTCTTCCTTTTGCGGCACTTGGCGCACGCTCTCATATTTATACACTTGGTCGCACCCCCCACACACACACTCAAATATACGCAATATATGCACACGTATACGTACAAACGTACGACGGTATGCAAGTACCGAGTGAGTTATGGGTCCCGCGAAGATATATCAACCACTTCATTTCCGCGAGCGCTATAAGCGAGTTCTCTCCCTTTCTGTACTACCTACAGCCATTTTTCGAGACACGCTCACGCTGAGCCTGTATCTACATTTTATATACCCTAACGTCTGAGTGGCCGTGCATCATACATAAGGTATACGTGGTGTAGGTAACTACAGGGCAAGAGCACCGGCGGCGCGTCGTTGACAATAGTGCCTTCTAGAGTCATAGCGTATAAGATTACCTCTGAGGTGATGAGAAGACGATCGATGATTATAAATATATGCAGGGAGGGTGGACGCTTGATTTATCAACCTCATCGTCGTTAGTAGTCAACGCATGATCGTTTAACGTTGCTGATAGCTACTATTATTGAATATTGGGCTGTCACGAAAATGGCTTAACTCCTGATTGTAGGATATTCGTTCCACTCGGAGGTCGTGCACGTGGGATCCAACAAGTAATTTTAATTGTTTCTGCTCGTTGTACTGTACTTTTTATATTTTCTAGTAAAAAAAGTCGAGTTTGACCGAAAGAGTTGGTGTACGTACACTGGGAGAAGGATTTGTTCACTATGAACGTACAAGACAGAGAAGTATAACTTTTTAAATTTTAACTGCACGCAGACAGCATATTAATAGTTAACATGCCATATTTAATACTTTTACTACTCTAATATCATTAAAACAATATATTATGCAATGACAATGCAACAAGATTACGTGCAGTCCTTTATTCTATGTAATAAAAATGTAAACGAAGTTTACAATTTATCAGTTAAAATATCATTTGTATCATAGAAAAATATTTGAACGAAATATTGATATTTTAACTATCACAATACGTATATGGTTTCGGGATTCATATTATACGTAAGTTAATAGTTAACATATGAAGTTAATTACTAACAAATCCTTCTCTCAGTGTGTAGTACCTGTAGCAATATGCATAATAAACATCAACTCATTAGATCATAAATACTGATGATGATGCATTTTTCTCACGTTACTGCATATTTTTAAAAGCCGTGAGTTTCTATTAATAAATTTACACCATCAAGACTTCTGGAATTGGTAGCGTCAACGTTTTTGTCCTTAATACACTACGATTTTCCAAAAATTAATTTTATTTTTTAAAGTAAGTCAACTTTATTTTTAATGAAGTATAAATTTATAATAATTAATTTATTTATGCTTAAGCAGTTGATCTATAACTGTGCATGTTGTTGTATTTAGACATTCAGAGTTCAGTTTTGGCTACGAGAGGTGTCTATTATTAAATTTCTTCACAAATCTATAGGTAAGGTTTTATTAAAAATAGTTTACTTGTCAGTTCAGAAGAACCAACTCCGTAAAAACCTCAGCTTGTGTATAAAACAATTCGGTTGCAACATCGATCCGAGACGAGCAGGAAGATCCATTGGAGCGTCAAAATCTTCTCTCTCCCTCAGAGAGGAAAAAAAAAAAAAAAAAAAAAAAAAGAGCTCAACGCAATATCCATCAGCCCCGCGAGATACTTTCGCGCTCGGAGTGCGATTATCCGTGCACTCTCCCTTCGTTTTCACGCCACGTAAAACCTTCATCACGAGCGAAAGTTAAAAACTATTACACGCCCATCAGGTAAGGGGGGAGGTTTACACGTGTAAGCGTGCATGGCCGGGATTTGGAAAGCAAAAACAAAAAACGAAAATAAATAAATACCCTGCGAGTGAAGAAGACGCAGGGGTGAGAGACGAAATTATCTCGTATAACCCGCGCGCGCGCGCGAATTCGATTAAGCCTTACGACCTACGCTCTTTTTCTGCGGAACGAGCGGGATATGCTGACGGTCGTCCAATTATCGTTTATCTCTCGCGTGAGAGAGAGAAAGAGAGAGAGAGAGCGCGGTATCGATCACCTTCGGAAATCGATTGAGCCTCTTTCTCTCCGCGGGAGAGTACACGCGCCCAGCTTAAATGAGCTGGGGTTACTCGAAAATCCTTAACAACGTGTAAATCAATCCCACTTTGCAGGATGCGTAGGTTCTTTAGGAAGGGTTTTTTTTTTTTTTTTTTTTTTTTTCAAGAAAATTTCGTGAGATCATGTCCGTAATAAAACCGGGTCACATCAGGTGAGCACTTACGCGGAAAGAAACTTACAACTTTGTGCTGTAGCTTATGAATATTGCTGTAGCAAAATTCTTAATAAGCTCTGCTAACTTGATCAATTTTGTTGCTTTTCAAGGGCAAAATTTTAAAAAGCATGTTTTGGATTGAAATCTGTTTCCTGAGTACAAATGAATAACCATGTCTCCAATGTGTTGGATTAAAATACGTGAAATACGTGGCCAAAATCTGAGGAAAATTGATGCTAAAATGTTTCTCTAATTTGTCCAAGTACCAGTTTCCAACGTAATAGTCTCGTTGATTTCAATGGTGTTGCTAAATATTGACACAGTTTTTGCTTCAGCTGAGTAACACTCACTTTCTTTACTTCTTAAACTCAAGAGTTCATTTATTATTGTCTTCTCTTTTGTTGGACAGCATTGAAACCCTAAGTTACATTGTGAGAAAAATCATAACTTGTTTTATAATTTTCTCTATTAAGGAATGATTTGAATTCAGCGTTCCAAATATTTTAATAAAATCCTAATTCAGACATAATTTTATTAAGAATTGAAGTCTATTGTTTAATTCATTCAGCTTTCAGAAATAGCTCAATTCAATTCTTAGAAGAAAAAAAACTCGAATAACAATTAAATTTATCCAACCATGCAAAAGATGTACTGCTCCCCAAGTTGCACAAAAAAAAACAAACAAGTGAAGATAAATTTCATGAATATTTTACGAAACAGTTAAGTTTAATTGTCTAAAGCTGTTTAGCAAAAAAATTAATGCCCTTATTGAAAGTCTAACATGGGGAAGTATGACTTGGTGTATGAGTTGTTTAGTGTTTGCCAAGAAGTAAAAATATGTAAAAAAATATATTAAAAATACATTCTTTGTTTCACTACTATTTAAAAAATCCTGTATTCAGTACTACTTTATTTTTAAAGATTAGTACTGTTTTTCAAAATAGTTATTCGAGCCCAAGCTTAATTTTAGCCACAATCAATCAAAATCGCATTAAAATCCGCAAGTCAGGCGTGACGGAAGCCACTCGATTTTCTTGGAGCTAACGGAGAACTTAGAAAAACGCGCTCCGGGTTGTCAAGCGTGAGGATGATATTGTACAGGGATACTCGGAAAGTCATTAACCTGTGCGTCATCCTTGCCCACGCCTATACACGGTATTCAAAATATCGTTCAAGAACCCAATTAGCGCTCCAAGTCCTTTGTCGTAGCAAAAACGTCCAAATTTGGTAAAATTGATTGTGTCATCAGTGCAGTATGAAATTTTTTATAGGCTCAAAAAAAGTTAGCTCTTCATCGTAAATGACAAACAATGAGTAATCCAATGTTAAAAAAGACACTTTTGTATCTTCACCTGGTAAGTTTACACACTTGTTCATGCATCGAGGCCCAGCCGTCCAAGGACGCTGAGATGTAATCCACCACGTGTACTAGTGGCTATTGAAACGTGTAGTTCTTTCCTCTCCCCCTCGCTTCTATAATTACACAAATATCAGAATAGTACAGCAAAAAAATGAAAATCACGCCTCGACACGTCTCACGCGATAGCTGCCTGCACCAGTCGTTTGGAAGTGGTTGGTGATGCTTGTAGTTTTCGTAGAAATCAACAGCCTGTCATTTATGAGTGCTGATGTGTAATGCGCCAAAAGTGTCGGACTTTATGGAAATTTTTGCTGTATTATTCAAAACAACAACTTGAACAGAGTAACTGCAAATGCGCGTGATCTTTGCTCATTTGAGAGTCATCGGTTGATGTGTCCACTGAAGTTTCCCGAGAGTCAGAAGCTGAAACGATGAAGTCGAGTGGCGCGATGAAACTCGGCGTCGGAGGAGTGGGTCTGTTTGTGTTTGGAGTTACTTTTGGATTGGTGATATTTCCCGAAATTTTGAAGTTCATGGTCCACCAGGTAATTCTTATTTGTTTGGGGAAACTTAAATTTTTTTTTACTCTATAATAATAATCGAACACAGTGCGAGCTTTTTTAAAAGAGTTGGACGGCTTAAATAGGAGGATACAGAAATTCATTCACGTAAAAAATTTTACTCTGCTTTTTTACACCACACCGATGGTTAATAGCAGGTCATTCGACGTCTAATTAAATGTTCCGTGATGATATGCTTGTGTCACATACGATACCTTTATTTTTTCTTCCTCCAAGCAAACGCAAAAAGCGCTGACTCACGCTGATACTTGGATAAAAGCACACAGTTTACGACAACAGCTACCTTGCACTTTTTTTACTCGCAGTCTCGATCGTTTTGTGTCACAGCCAACCATTCTCAGGTACACCTAATGTATGGGAGTACCACATATTTTTGTCAGAGCAAATAGTGTGACCAATTTAATCGTCTATTTTCAATAGAAATCGAATTGTGATCCACCCATTAGAGAGGTCTGAGTAGGTTCCATGAAATTAATGTGTACACGTCATTTCAAGTTTTTCTAACTAAAACAATTATCATCGTAAATAGGGAGTAAAACCTTTTGTCCATCATCGAAGCTGATAGTTTATATTTGTACAGGTTGTACTATTGAGAACAAAATACCTGATATTTTTACACTACAGTACTATAATAGAAACAAGTTAAATTCTACAAAAAGCGTTCAATACAAAAGTTGTAAAGCTCATGACAATGCAACTTTCTTGCGCTATCATTTTTTTTTCTTTTCAATTGAAAAAAAAAGTTTTATTAAAAACAATTCAAACATTCCAGCAAGTCAACTTGAAGCCAGGATCGCAACTACGACCACTGTGGAGCAAGTTTCCGTTTGCTCTGGACTTTCGAATCTATTTGTTCAACGTAACAAACGCCGAGGAGGTGAAAAATGGTGCCAAGCCGAAATTGCACGAAGTGGGACCTTACTATTTCGAGTAAAATTTTCATCTATTATTGTTCACAGGGAGAAAATAACTCTAGCCATTAGTTTCTTAATCGTGAAGTTATGGTAATGTTAGGATACTATGCAAGATTCTACCAAGAAACTTGTTATAATAAATAAGTACATATTAACACAAATGACGGTAAAATTCGGTAACTTTCGTGGTATTTCAACCGAGGGGCTGCGCAGTCTGAAGTCTTTCAGAGAATTGTTAAGTCTTTGAAAGACTTAGCATAACTTATGAAGTCTTTTTTAATGACTTTAAGAGTGAGCAGCCCCTCAATCTCAATTTGACCGTGGTGTGGTTAGATAGTTCTTACGTATAATACATATTTTTATTAACGTAATCGACATACGTAGACTGTTTTTTTCAGGGAATGGCAGGAAAAGGTCGACCTGCAGGACCGGGAGGACGACGACACCGTGGACTACACCGTCAAAAACAAGTGGTTCTTCAAGCCAGAGATGAGTGAAGGACTCACTGGGGAGGAGGAGCTCATTGTACCCCATATCTTTATGCTGGCTATGGTCATGACAATAGTCAGAGAAAAGGCTTCGATGATTCCTCTCGTTAGTGAGTAGTAATTGTTATGGATAAAAGAACTGGTATCAATTCAAATGTACAGGTTTTGTGGGATTGTTGGTAATACCACCGAGCGTACATGTCGGTGGTTTTCTAGGTAAAGCGGTCGATAGTATTTTCAAAAATCCCGACAATGTGTTCGTCAGGGTGAAAGCTATGGACGTAATAGTCAATGGTTTGCCAATCGATTGTACGGTGAAGGATCTTGCTGGCTCTGCTGTCTGTTCTGAAATAAAAAAGAACTCTGACGAGTTGATGAAAGATGACGAGGATATGTTTCGGTTTTCACTAATTGGAGCGGTTTGTGATTAAATACTTTCAAAGATTTAGGTCAATAACCCGACAGGGTGTATGAAAAAACTGTCGTTTTCAATTACAGAAAAACGATACACCCACAAAGAAGCGGCTTCGTGTTTTGCGAGGAGTCAACAATCAAATGGATGTAGGAAGGGTCGTGGAATATGATGGAAAACCAAATATATCGACGTGGGGTGACAAGTACTGTGATACCTTTAATGGGACTGACGGCACTGTCTTCCATCCCTTTTTTAAGGAAAAAGAGGATATCGTATCTTTCGCTCCTGACATCTGTCGAAGCTTGAGCATTGGCTATGAAAGGCCGAGCTCATACAAAGGTAACAAAGTCTAGTTTTTTTCCGATCAGGACAGTGAACGTTATCTTTTCATCCTACTTTAGAGACATCAGACTACTTGAGTTATTGAAGCTAGAAGTTATTTTATGATACTCGTGTAACAGTGGAAAAATAAAAATAACAAAAAAAAAAGTTAAAAAACGCATATTCCAAGTTCTAAAAGTATTCCTTGTCTTCAGAGTCCACGTGGATTCGTCAGAAAGTTGACCAAGCCGATCTTTAAAACTTATCTAAAAATTCCAAGTGGAATTTGAAGACGGGAAAACGGTTCTACGTAGAATCAGGTGAAATAGTACTCTACGAAGACCTCATGTACAGGATTGTTAGTAGACTAAATTGCCTTTCCATTTTATTGTAGACTAATACATAATGTTTACTATAAACATAGTAATGATACTTTTCTTAAATTCTGAGTGTTGACCATTTCATCACATGATAATGTTCTAATCGTACCTCAAAATAATGAGGTAATCCAGACAAGCTTCATTGCGTCTTAAGTGGAGCACATTTTATTATCTCTTCAGAGTTCAACACAGCACGATATACGGCATTTTTGGGTGATCCAAATACGATCCCATGGCAAAAATGCTACTGCCCACCACCGGACACATGTCTTGGGAAAGGCTTGATAGACACCTACCGTTGCACAGGTGTCCCCATAGTCCTATCTCATCCTCATTTTTACCTGGGCGATGAAACTTATCTGAGAATGGTCCATGGACTAAATCCATCGAAAGTAAATACCACTTTTGCATTTACGCCCTGATATATAAGACTTTGGTAATGTGTTATTTTACCTAGGACAAGCATGAAATCTGGTTGGAGTTTGAACCATTGACTGGTGTTCCATTGATCGCCATGAAACGCATTCAAGTCAACGTGATGGTTCAGAAGGTAGAAAAATTCAAAATCATGAAAAATTTTCCGGAAGCTCTGCTACCACTTTTTTGGATCGAAGAAGGAGTAGCTCTGCCTGATTGGTTTCTCGATCAAATAAGAGGTGAACACACGATGGTTGCAGTTGCATGGTAAGATTTTAAGAAAATGGCTTAATCTTGTAGATATTAGATGAAAATTTTGTGATGTAATCATTGGTTTTCTCGTAGCTATTTACAATGGATATTGATGATTGGAGGAATAGGATTATGTGGAATTGCTGGATTGTTACAGTTTGAAGCAAATCAAAAGTCGAAAAAGTTTGAAGTCACAAAAGCTAGTTGAAAGTATTACTGAACCACAGACTTGATTCTTACAAGAAATAACAACTATATTTAGAAATTCATAACAATATTGCCAAAATATAAACGTGGAAACTTGTAATACTGAGTTAGAAAGAATTAATACTATTCACTAGTACCAATATCCTTTGAAATTGTAATTATAGTTATAAAGATATTTTATAAAAACCCTTTATATCATCGATTGGAGTAAATGGCGTAAAAAATAACGCCTCGTACGAAATTTATGTCACATTTAAATGACTGTTCATTGATTTGTAAGTACACTATAGTAAAAAAAGTTTTTTGATGAACGATATATTAAATAAATATTAATACTAAATTCTCCAATTAAATTAGCATTACTCAAAAGAAATAATACTGTTCATTTTTTAAGTTTCAATGAGCAGTTAAACAACCCCAGTATGACACAAAAAAACATAAAATGTAAATAGGTGATTGTTAAGGTTATATATTTTTTAATCTCGGTGAAATAATACTATATTTAGAATGACTTTTTTGACAAAGATACCTAATTTCAAGAAAAGACGGTTCCTGAGATCTTCCGGAAACATGTTTCCATTAAAAGTTGTTAGGTATCGGAGATGTTTCATTTATAATTTAAAAAATTCATATCTATCTCTTAAAACGTGAGTAAACATGAAAATCTCCCAACAAACACTTAGATTAAAAATTTTCAGTAACTCTTTAGATGATTGCCTATGAAACGAATCTCAGAAACCCTTTTTTTATATTTTAATCTGCTAATTCCAACTCTTCGAGGATTACAATGTATACAATGTACTGTTCACTTACATTATTGTCTAGGCCAACAAAATCATATCCAATTTCTCAACTACGCCACAGCGGTTGAATGGAAATACAGCAACGAAAACTCGACAACTCCAATATATTTTTTGTGAAAACCGAGACTGGTCTATACGCTTTTTCCACTCGAGGTCACACACGGCTTTCCCCCCGATGACATTACGTAAGAAATTATTTCTAAAAGCTTGTATTTTTGGCCAACAGAGCAGCTTTCTCTGGGACGCGGCAAAAAATACACCCACGAGGAGAAGAGTAAATGACGAAACGAGAGAAGCCCCCACGAGTGGCGAGAGTCACGAGTGCAGCGTGGCGAATAATTAACGAGCCGCTTATTCGTCCTCGCGAGCGTGACGTCACCCGGGTGCATTGTGTTCCTGGAAAGCGGGCGTAAATCGGCCGGCGCTGGCATAATCATCTTCCCATCGGCGCCTGGCGGGTCCACCGTCCGACCCACCGACAATCCGTGCGTGCACGGGTTTCTTGGCTAGCTCTAATAGGTGGCTTACCGGTTAGGACGTTAACGGGCAAAAAGTCTTCTTAGCTTTTGCAGTGGATCAAATAGTATAGCAGAGAGACGCGGTGAACCCAGACTAACATATATTTTTGGAAATCGGTTGACGCACCTTCATGGTTTACCATTAACATTTTCCCTAAATAAAATACAATATGCTTTAGTGGTCCGACTTTTTGTTCGTGATTCTTAACGACAATTCATTATGATATTTGATCAATATTATTGCTTTGAATGTTTCCTCCTGATTTATCTGTGTTTAATACTGTTGGGCCTACATTTTTCATTTTAGTCCCTGACATAGTATTAGGTAATTAATTGAATTTATTATTCAAAAACCTATTGATGTACTTCATCGCATTATAAAGTTTCTAACAGTTGTAAGTTTTATGATAGAGCTGCTGGTAATTTTTTTTTAAGGGTGTTGAAAATCTGTAAGCTCTTTTAAACAACTATTGGGTATTACATGTAAAACCATTGTGTGTCACTGCAATTATAAGGAATTCGTAGTTTTATTCATATTGTATTAATTGCTAACAAGCAGCTTTAGCTAAAACCTAATTGAACGAGAGTTTTGCCAAAGTAAAGATCTTCTTCCTAAATAAGGAGTTCTGTGATCATTTTATGTAAATGGCTTTTATTTGAAATCATTTGGTTAATGGATGCGTTCATCTTAACATAAAGAGACAACAAATATTACCACGTATTATTTTATTTTCTCAATTGTAAAATAATTCATATTTCATAGACTTAGTCTAATTGCACAAGTGGATCCCAACATTACTGGACGATCGTAAAATTTTTTTACTTCCTACTCAACAACTCTGAATACTTACACTAATATCCTATCCTCGTACATAGCGAATGTTCGCGCAGCGTCATCATTTTTTGCCTGCCAGCCTTTCAATCATAGACGGTGATTTCAGCTCATTAAAAGATAAATTAGCACTGCCGAGTTGAATCTTAACTGCACCCTTTAAGAAAAAACACTCGCAGCCCTTCCCTCTCTGCCAGACCATGCAAATGATATTACCGGGTAACGAGGCGCGACTCCCGTGTATTATGCGCATCGCGAATCGCGATCGCATTCTTTGGAACGGGGAACAATGCTAGGCGTTGTGCTGAAGATGGTTTTTGCCATTGTCTGTTAATTGGTTTTCTTAAATTAATTTTTCTGTCATTAGACTGACAACAAATATAAAAAAAAGCATGATTACCATAAAGTAAGGTACGTGGTTGTTTAATTTTAACTACGTGATGATTGAATGCGTCAGTTTTAAACGTTTGATTTCAAAGCTGTGTAAAAGTGCTCAACATCTGTAGTATTGATTAGTTGCTTAAAATGCAACTTTTTAGTTTTTTATATTTATTGAGTGTGTGAATTTAAAATTGATATTTTTAAAAAGGTATATATGTTTGTGAAATAAGTTTAGTTGAAAGCAAATTGATACCTCATACAGAGACTAGTACGATTCAGACTTTTACTCTATTAATATACCTTATATTGAAAAATTTGAAAAACATAAGTCTTCGTAGAAGGTGATGGTAGACCATTTAGGTGCTCGAATATACAAGGTTATAGCACAAAAATAGTTGTCATGATTGATTATCAACTACTTCATAATGATTAAATGCGAAATTCATAACTTTGTTCATGGTTTTTCATAAATGACAATTCCAGGCCATACCCTATTTTTGTCCCCGTGAATTTACTTGTTACATGTCCCATTGCATTATTTTTATCATTTGAAATAAATGAACTGATAATGTATACCCTGAATTTTTTGTTTCCATGACTTTATATTTAATCAAATAAACTTGATATTTGACTAAGGAGAAAAATAAAAAAAGTGATGACTAGTGAAAAAGTATCGTATGAACAACTAGAAACAACTAAAAAAAAACTGCAAAAAATTTTGATAAACCATGAGAAACCATAAGAATTTTTAAAAGCTGTAAGAAAATTCAGATAGTTTCATGGTTTTTTAAAGTTGCATAACTGCTTACATTGATCCCTTTGGAGTAAACTTGATCGTCGAATATTTACGACAAAAACGATCGGTTTTATAAAAAAAAAAAAAAAGAAATAACGTGCAATCATGACTTTGCTCCAAAAACCATTAAAAACTACAATAATCTGCACTAGATTCATGTACAGCCATGCAAAAACCGTGACCTTTAAAGTACACTACACCCACTTGAAAAATCAATGTCATCGTATCATATACGTGTGATACGCACATTCACGCCCTCGGGCACCCAATAACCATTTAAAAATGTACCTCATTCACACGCGTACATGCACTTTTCGCTCATCCAAGAGCGTGTAACAAGAACGAAGGAAAAAAAAAAAAAAAAAAAAAAAAGAAAAAAAAAAAAAAAAGAAGCGAGTAAGACTGAAGGACCTATTCCGGCGATGCTAATTTTATTTTTCACACCTTGGCTGCGCTTACACGCGCGCACTACATGCACGTATAGCGTACCTATATATGTATACAATCGGCCGCGTCGTATTTAAAAATTTGCATAATGGCTCTCTGACATGTTTATGTACACACGAGAGAGAGAGAGAGAGAGAGAGAGTGGGGGTCTACTTGCTGCACTTATATATATATACTCGAAGGTGAGGCGCGAATCGTTGCACGCAGCGAACGAGAAGGGATTAAAAGTCTGCGCTCCCGCATTGTGCACACCGGAGATCATAAATACGCGATTTGTCGGGCAGGGGACGTATGGTTTGCTGCTACTGCAGGATCCTTTTAATACGGCGTTGCTCCCCCTGGCCCCCTCTCTCGCGTGCGAGTACACCGACACTCGTTTTATTTCCCGGCTCCGTTGTGTTTCCGATTCTTTTCTTTCTCTCTCTCTCTCTCTCTCTCTCTCTTCCGTTTTCTGTACACCACTTGATGCTTTTCCTCTTTATTTTCATTCGATATCAAGACAGAGAAGCGTATATTAACACTCTTCCCCCCTTCTTGCTCTTGCCTTGGATCGCTATTATATTTATACGCACGTATTTGCGCGACAGTCGTACCTTTTTTTTTTTACATGCATATATTTTCTTGTACTGCAGTTTGCGTCCTTGAAACTTATTTTCAGGAGTTCGCGATTGCTTATTTTCATACAATATATATTCATGTCGGTCTTTAAGTGCCCGATACGTATTATCAACTTGTTTTATGCGAATCGAATGACTGGGTACATTTTCGCGTGTAATTGTTGGGTCGCCTGTGTAATGAATAGTCATTAATTAAAGAAAATTGAGCAGTTTATTGACGCTGACAGTGTAATGGATTTTGAGAGGTTGACGACAATCTCAACGATTCAGTTGAGTATGGCGATCAATTATTTAAGTACGTACTTCTTTTCCTCGTAAATAAGAGCCCTATTGTGAGTACCACTGCCTCAGTAGAAGATTCAGGGTAAAAATTACAATTCTTACAATATGTATGTATGTACGAAAGTTAATGCTAACATTTTTCCAGTACAACAAAGGGCTTAATAATTTATGATCACGTATATGTCATGATTTTAATATGTACTCGCTTTTCAATAAAATTTGGAAAGATATACACAAATAATATACTTGTGTATCAAAGATCATACATTTTATATCATGTTTGTTCGGTACAAGTTTCACGACGTATCCCCAACAACATAAAAACTTCTTAAAAACGTTTTGTGAAGTCATTAAAAGACTTACAATAACTTATGAAGTCTTTTTTAATGAATTTAAGCTATATGCACTCTTGAAGTCCTGTTAAATTATATGAATCCTCTAAAAAACTTACAATAACTTATGAAGTCTTTTTGAAAGACTTGAAGTCTTTTTTAATGAATTTAAGCTAAATGCACTCTTGAAGTCCTATTAAATTATCACAATTCTTTCAAAGACTTAGAATAACTTATAAAGTACTTTTTAACGATTTGAAGTCTT